GTTCCCCTGAAGTCACGTGACTGCATTTGGGGGCGCTTGGCAACTGGCCTATATTTGTAGTCATAAGATGGCAAAACTTAAATTATGGCCATATGCTGAGGACTATGTGTATACCATTTGTGCTGCTGTGGGATGTTTGAATAAAAGGCGTTTTCTAAACTCTGTTTATTTCGCAGGACTGCAAATCAATCTTTACGTCCCAAAAGGGAATGACAAATCTATGCTACCTGGATATTCTAATTTCCTCTGGAACCAAACGAAACAAAAATTCCCAGCTGCACAGAAAGCGCAACCTTGCTTGCGGCAGCCCTTTCAAATTATAACTTTGACCTTGTGGTCAAACAGCTCCTCCTTGTCAAAATGTGCTGAAATCTCTCAGAGGAAAGAATAAAAAGCGGCTGGGATGCATAGAATGAATTTTAGGTAATAAACCTCTCATCAGCTTGAAGAACATTTAAGGAGCTGGAAAACAGCAATCTGGCATTTAAAGAAGGCAGGGGAAAAACTGTACTTTGCTTTTAAGCCTTGGGATATTTCTCAAACCTTGCAGCTGGTTTACACACCTGACCATTTTGCTTGAGGTTTAGTGCAAAGTGCGACCCCCACCAATTGTAGCCGATGCACTGCACTGTAGTTTAATAATTAAGGCTTAGCTGCAGTTATTAGTACAAGATAAACCCAATTTTAGCTGCAGACTATTTGGAAAACGTACAAAAACCAAGTTTGAGAAGCTCAGAGTAATCAGGAGTTGTGAAACTCATCGTTGGAAACAATGCTCAACTCCTTCACCAAACTGCGAGAGAAAGAATGGGGCCTTTTGGGGAACTGTTTTCTGCACTGTTGAAAAGGTGCTTTTTGTTTTTGTTTTTTGTTTTAAAGAAAATATCATGGAGAAACTTGTAATTCTTTTTCCCTTTATATTTCAAGAAGCCCCATAAAATTTAATCATGCAGGTTTATGGAAAGTCAACCCAAGACATTTCAGAAAGCCAACAACCAGAATTGATTTGCCAAAGGTCCGTTAGCAAGACCATACCGGATTTGGGCAGTTTTATAACAACCACAAAACAACAACTGAAAGGTTGATGATTTGCAAGCAGTATAGTTAACAGTAAGTTCTCTGGCCTGCTTTTGCCAGAACAAGAAGGGGGGAAAAAAATTCCACCGAATTGATTAAAAAAATAGCAACATTTAATGTGTCTGAATATATTAAAAAAGCAGTTTGTTGGATTAATAAAATAGCAACATTTAATATGTCTGAATATATTAAAAAAGCAGATTGCGTGAGCTGCGTTGTCACATTATTTATTGATTAAAAACATTTATATGGCCGCCCAACTCACTCATGGTGACTCTGGGTGGCTTACAGAAATCAAACCCCAATGCAAAAGCCAACAACCCTCTGCTCCCCAGTTCCACAGTACCAACATTCAAACTAACCATTTGACAGCAACAGCAACAGCCCTTAGACTTATATACTGCTTCACCAGTACTTCACAGCCATCTCTAAGCAGTTTATAGAGTCAGTCTCCTGCCCCCAACAATTTGGGTCCTCATTTTACCCACCTCGGAAGGACAGAAGGCTGAGTCAACCTTGATGGGCTCCGTATCACCTTGGGATCCCCAGACTTGCAGGCAAAAATCACATCTTTGAGGCCGTGTTTATTGGCTATTAAAGGCTGATCGTCCCGTAACTGGAACACGGAAAAGGGAGGACTTACCTCCATCAAGATGACCACGTCTTCATCATCCTCGTCTTCCCACTGCAGGTTAACAGGTGTGTCCAACATCACAGGCAAGTCTTCGTCCGAGGAGTCCGATATCGTGATGAGTCCCTCGTCTCGGTGGTTAACCCTATCTGAAGGAAGGACCAGCCCATCAGCCAGCTGAAGGTTTGTAGCAGCTCGTAAATATGCACGAGGTCCGTCCGTCCGACTCCAGACCAAAATATGCGGCCCGAGTTTGCACAGAAATAAGACAGGAGGGGAAATCCCAGGGCAGAGGTGGCCTGTGGACTTCAACTCCCAGAATTCCTTGCGCAAGGCACTTCACCAACCACCTTACTTCAGTAGCAGAAATTCTGGTGGCCAGAAGCTGAGAACTACCTGAGAACTTACCTTTCCCTCGATGGCTCCGGAAACTATTCAAGTCGATTACTTCTTTCTGACCTCCGTCTTCCATGTTAGAAGGTTACGCACCTGGGCATGACATCCACTTTTGTCAGGAGCCCCTGGAAAAGGCAGAAGGACCGTTGGACCCCACGGCTTTGTGTGAGCTTGTGACTGCAGCCTCAGGAGCAAGGGCCCTTAAGACTTATATACTGCTTCACAGTGCTTCCTAGCCCTCTCTAAGCGGTTTACAGAGTCAGCCTCTTGCCCCCAACAATCTGGGTCCTCATTTGACCCACCTCGGAACGACGGAAGGCTGAGTCAACCTTGAGCCGGTCAGGATCGAACTGCAGTGGGCAGAGACTCTGCAGTGGGCAGTGTCAGCCTGCAACATTGCATTGTAGCAAGTGCACCACTATTCCTTCCTCCCTTCCTTCCCTCCTCCCTACTTTTTTCCTTCCTTCCTTCCCTCCTCCCAACTCTTTTCCTTCCTTCCTCCCTCCCTACTCTTTCCTTCCTTCCTTCTCTCCTCCCTACTCTTTTCCTCCCTCCCTCCCTCCCTACTCTTTCCTTCCTTCCTTCCTACTCTTTTCCTTCCTTCCTCCCTCCCGACTTTCCTTCCTTCCTTCTCTCCTCCCAATTCTTTTCCTTCCTTCCTTCCTTCTCTCCTCCCTACTCTTTTCCTTCCTTCTCTCCTCCCTACTCTTTTCCTTCCTTCCTTCTTTCCTTCTCTCCTTCATTCCTTCCCTCCTCCCTAGTCTTCCCTCTTTCCTTCCATTTTCCACACCTCATAATCCTCACAGCATCAAAGCCAAGGGGGAAGGCAAGGCACTTAACGGCTTAACAACTGCAGCGATTCACTTAACGGTGGTAAGAAAGGTTGTAAAACGGGGGCGAAACTCAAACAAATGTCTCATTTAGCAACGGAAATTTGGGGCTCCCTTGTGGTCGTAAGTCAAAGACCACCCATAGCTGTGATTCTAAAGCGCGCACACACACACACACACACACACACACACACGAAACAAACCTCATTTATTACAACCACTGTTTCCGCTCCAATTTTGCCAGCCTCAACGAGCTTTAACCGTCTCTGCCTTCACTCCCTCTTCCTAGCCACAGCTGCTAAAAAAGGCTTTATGCAATGACTTTTTTGGGGGGTGGAGGGGTGGGATGGTTTCCTCCTCCAGGGATGTGTTTGGTGTCTGTGATTGTGTGGGCGTGTATGAGCGGGGAAGGCTCAATGCGAAAACAGAGAGGCTATAATTGAAATACAACATATGGATCTGAACAGAGGTGGCAGGACTGCACAACAAACGGCTCGGCTGGGCAACACACACGGCTGGGCCCTTCCAGCTACGCTCTCCTTGCCAAAAGCCTGCAGCAAAACTTCTACTCAAGAACTGTTCCATGACATCAGCCCATCGGCAGATTCCAGGCACGCCGGTTGCAAGAGACCAGTAGAGACCAGCATCTGTTTGGGTGTAAATAAAATCCTTTCGAGGCAGAGAACAGAGAGCCAGGCACAGGTGGGGCCATAAATATAAAAGAGATGCATCCACCAACCTTTATCTGTCTCTTTCTTCTTCTTTTTTTCTGGAATACGGGCAGAGGGGACTTTGTAGGGGGGGGGGGGGGGGGGGGAAAAACCTTGATTCGTTGGGCCATGATTGAAAAACATTTCAACACCAACCAGTCGAAGGAAGTTGCCAGGGTTGGATTCAGGATCGATTATCCTGAATGCAAAAAATTTCCCTTTAACGAGAAACCCAAACTGGTTCCAAAGAGGCCCTTGCAACAGATGCCTTCTGAAAGGAACAGAAAGTTCAAGAGGACACAGTTCAAGAATCTTTCTTGGGACAGCAGCTCACGACTTCCTCCGGAATCTAAAGTGCAGACAAACCCATCTTTTAGAAGGGTGAATCGAGGATCTGTTTCTTCTATCGGCACAGGGAGGGAAAAAAATCAATCCCAGCTTGTGCAGATGATCCAGAATAAAGAGTTTAAAGTTTATTTAAATAAACAACCTGTTAAGCTGGGACAACAAAACCTCATCTTTATATATTTATATTTATAATTTATTATACATACATACATACATACATACACACACACACACACACACACACATATATATGGTATTCAGCTTTGTTCGGGTATTTTCCCACATCATTATAGTTGTGCTTTTAAAGTTGTAGCAACGTTTCGGCAGAATCTCATCTGCCATCATCAGGCTTCTGTATTGTGTTCATCGAATTGAAAAAAGACCGGAAAGCATGAATAGAAGAGATGATCCCACCAGACTGTCAATCATTTGGAAGCCTGCACTCACAAGCAAAAAAATCTCCACACCACAAGCCAGGCAAACACCTGGGCACAAACAGATCTCCCCTGATACCTCCAGCTCAAATACACCCCAACCAGGCACCCAGATGAAACCTAGCTTCCTAATAAATGATAGCCGTCCATTTACTCGGAGCCAAGCTGCACTAAAGGCCTCCAATAAAGGAACACAATGTTGCCAATCAAGACAAAAAAAGCTACAAAACGGACAGAAGATATTAGAAACACCAATCAAGCAGAACATAGCAAACTCCAAGATCAATAAACACAGACCAAGACTCCCAACCAATCAGGATGAAGAAAAAACCATTCTGACACAGCAGTAGGCTAGCCCCAAATTTAAAACTGAAACAGCTGTGAAAGTCTGACTCACAGACGAACACAATACAGAAGCCTGAGGATGGCAGTCAGACTTTTACAGTCAATCAAGATCAATCAACTTTTACAGTCAATCAAGATCAATCAAGATCAAAATCAATCAAAAGTCTGACTCACAGACGGACACAATACAGAAGCCTGATGATGGCAGATGAGATTCTGCTGAAACGTTGCTACAACTTTAAAAGCACCACTACTATGACGTGGGAAAATACCCGAACAAAGCTGAAGGCCATACATGTAAGTACCCGCGAAAACTTAAGAAAACAAATATATATATATATATATATATATATAT